ACTCTATTAAATAAAAAGCTTCTTCCCAGAGGCCATCTGCAAGCTCCACACAATTACAGGAAACACAAAACTATATTTCGCCTACTAGTTATTGTAAAAACTGTGTGGCCCTTTGCCAGAAAAATTAATATGTTTCATGTAGAAAATAATCCATGAGAGTTTTATAGACCCATAATAATTTACAGCAAAAAGGAAGAAAATTTAAGAGGAGCTTCTCGTGGCCTCAATGGATAACAAAGAAAGAGAAGGCTTGTTTGCAGCTCACTTTCTCTGCCTGAGAACAAGACAGACAAGTAGGCCAAAGAAGAGATCAGAGAAAGGAGTCACTGCTTGCATCAGGAGGAGGACATGAGGGTCTTTAAGATGTGAGTAAATCAGTAGGAAAAATAAGTCACTGACACTACTCAAGTGTAGCCCAAATCCTTCCTCTTCAATTGCACTTCTGACTCGGTTGATTACTGAAAGGAAAACGCCTTTCAGACAAACATTCCCATCACTTGCAGGTGAAAATGTCTCCTCTGATACTACAGAAAGGCCAAACTCCACTTGACCTGGTGTCCTTCTCTGGCCCTGGGGAAGGAGGTTTCCTAGACAGCTGAGCATCAGTTTCTTCTGAGTCTCCCAGACTTTCATACTTCCCAAGTCATCTGAGCTGCTGTGGAGATTCCAGCCGGACCTCTGCAATTCCTGTCGGATTCATGCCTGATGAGGCATCCAGTCACCTGATCTGTGCAGCCAGGCACTTGTTATACACATTCCTATGAACTAGGTGGCTTTCCCTGCTCCTGAAATGCCCTTTTCCACCATACCTTTGAACTGTTTCTAACTGTAAATGAGTAAATGCATAACCCTCTCCTATGTGTTTAAAAATTCCTAGGAAAGCACCATGCAAAAGAAATATGTACTCCACCCCTTCTGACAGGGCAGCTGCAGCAAAACATTGTTTCAACTCTGATAGCAACCTATAGAATAAATAAAAATCATTGTATAAGCACCTGAAGTTTCTAAATTTAGGCACCTTTTCAGATAAAAGCTCCACCTGTGTCATCCACCTAAAGGAAATGTATTTCTCAAACCAGAAGCACCATAGCCAAATAATGCCCTATGTTAAATGTCATCATAGGATATTTTAGTTAGAGTGTCCTTAATTAGAGTGTTAGAAAGAAACCACATCATTTTCATGCATATAACTTTCCAGTTATTCCAGTAGAAATCATACTGTCTGGAGTCCACAGGAGGGCATCGCTGCTTAAGAGATCATAAAAAAGACATCTGAACAGTCCCTTTCCAGCACTAGGCTTCCTATGCTACTATATATTCTGAGTAAAAGATGATACAAAATAAGTTATTAAGGAATTGTTTATATCAATTTTTGTCACTAAAGAAACATACTCTTGTCCTGCTCTTCAATGAGTCCAAACTGCCAAGACAGAAAAGGAACAATGAAGTTTTGGAAAAGAGCATGAGGGGCAATAGAAGAACATTAGTCACAAGTAGCTCTTATAAATATTTTACATAAACCTTCATATAAACACAAAATCATATTCTTTTACCTTCATATAAACACAAAATCATATTCTTTTAACTTGCTTCAACATCTTTGTTTTAAAAAAAATTAATCAACATCTGTTGACTCTGGAAGCCAACCACACTGATATAGAACAATTTAAGTATATCACTTGGATTTTTAATGAGTTTAAGTATGTTTTTTAGTATAGTGCAGTCCTCCAGACTTAGGTTTGGTTTTACCTTTCAGCAGACAGAAAGTATTTTGAAACCCACAGGAGTCCTTCTTGCAGACATTTTGCTGAATTAGTTCTGCATTGACTATAACAACACCATCTTAGCTACACTTCAGCCAGGTTTTTCTAACTGTGCATAGGTGGAACAGTTGGGAATATGGGAGATCAACGATAATTTCCCACATCACCCTGAGATCTGCACACATTCAGGCAAGGGTTTTTAATCTCATCATTTCAAAGAGATATTATTAGGCTTTTGGAAGTCCCACTCTTAGCCAGACCAACATCTCAGGCAGAGAGTAATTGTGCAGGTCATAAGAAGACATTTTGGGTAAAACATCCAGCAGCACCAGAAGCTTCCCCATCCTGGCACCTTGGTTTAGCTACAGGTGTGAAAACTTGTGGAAGATCTACAGCTGTTTTTGAGAGAGCTCTTGCCTTTTTATCAAAGGTTTATCTTACACTCTGTTCAGCTGTTTTTACTTTAACCTGCATGAACATCAAACCTCCGATCTTACTTTGGAGATTCTAATGAATTAGCACTGGTTGGGAGAGGGGTTTTTGTTGAAAAAGACTGATTAAAAAGCACTGAGAGGGAACTGGATAGTCCTTTGTCTCCCTAAAGTTTGAACATGACACCCCTCAGGATAAAAATATCTCCCCTGTGTGAATTCTGATGGGGAATAGAACACTCCCCTCTCTTGTATCTGCTTAATGCAAAATAAGATATCTACAGATAAAAAGGTAACTACAGAATAACCCAGAGGAACTATTTCTTCAGTAAGTGGTATCAAAGTTTATCTACTGAACAAAATCTTCCCTGAGCTCTTTGTAAGGGGAGTTTGCCTAAGAGAGAAACACACCTTTGTGAAGGGTGAAGTGGGAAGTCATCGGAGAATTGAATTTGCATCCTTTTCTTTGGACTTACATTACATTTTTCCTTAAATCCTGCCCTCCCTCCTCTTGCCTCTGAAGTTCAATTTCTCTTCCCCTCTTTCATCTTTTCACTCTTCTGTAATAATGCTTGATTTCCTTTCTTCCCTTTCCTAAAATTTTATATAAAAGCTGGTCATAATTTGAAGTGATAGGATGAAAGTAAGGCAGCAAAATATGGTCTGAAAAGTCAAGGTTCTTGTGAAGGATCAAAGAACATAGCAATGCTGTGACAGATGTGAGAGGGGAGATCTTTCACTGTATCTTAGTCCAGGATCATAAGTTTTGCCAAGGGAAGACCTGGAGCCAGCAGCAATCTCAGCCACACTCTGATCTTTCTCATCTGCAAATCTTTCATTATGTATTTTCCAGTTGAATTAAAATCTACTTGCTTTTTATTTTTTTCCCTTAGCTATTCCTAGCCTCCATCTATTTCTCATTCCACAGAACCTCTGTAGGGTGGTTTTGTGGAGCTTTTGCATGACTGACATTTAGCTTTGTTTGAACACAGCAGGCAGAGTTGTGCCATGAAGCTCAGTAAGTACCTGCCTGGAATTAGCTGTAAGACATCCGTGCTATTCAAGAAATTTTAAAATGAGGTGGTGGGAAGTGAGCCTTCCAAGGCACAAAATAGCAATCTAGAATTCATATTTTGAATACAGTTTGAAACATGCTGGAAAATTGAAACAGATTAACAGGAAAAACCTTTTGATTATATAAGTATTTCTTAATTAACAATTAGGACACTGAAAGATGTCATGGCATGAGAACAGCAGGGTTTGGTGCTCACAGTGTTGTTATAAAAAGACTGTAGAATGGGGAAAAAACAAACCAGAGATACACTTTATCATATTCCTCCCAAGTCTGTGAGCTATTGAAATAATTCATTTTTTGGCAGAGATCACTTTGGGTAAAAATCAGCTGGAGAAGTTCTGGAAAGATACAAAGAATTGAATCAGGATTTGGAAAGTGGAATCTATTATAAAATATGAATTAACACAGTCACACTCCTATTACAATTACTCACATATCTTATCTCTTTTTCAGTGAGAACAGTGACTTGGCTGACCCAAAAAATCAAGATCCTAACCTTCCAGCCAGGGAGTATATCCATCTCCATCTCTGTGCCAACTGAATAAGGTCCAGAAATTAGCCAACAGTTCGTGGCATGACATAACTTTAAAAATGAATATGCCATTATAAGTAACTCATTTATAGTTAAATCAGATTTTCAAACAGTTGACTTTTCATTCTAGGCATGAGCTAACTGAGAATCAGAATTAAGAATCAGAATGAGGATGTTGCAAAGCAGTCCTCTAGAGCTATGCAGTATAATGGAGTGAAACCTAAACTCTGGGTAGTGAACGCGAGTGATTTTTGTGATAATTTTTTTCCAATTAGGAAAAAAATTCTGAATCATGGAGCAGTGCTCAAACTTACACATACACATCATTGGGGAAAAAATTACAGTGCATACTTAGCTAATATTCAGATGTTGCTAGTTTGGTCACATTAGAAGCTATTTACTGAAGATCCCTTAGCAGGGTGTTGATCTCTCCACAAAACAGGGAAATGTGCAGGGACTGTGTTTTTCCTCCATCAGAGCACATTATCTTACTTTCCTGGCATTAACCGGCACATCTGACACTAACACAGGAGATTTCCAATTATTCTTGTTTATTTTTCTAGGCCTCTTTGAAGTGCTATAAGGAATAGTGCTTATTAGGAGGAAATACTCCTGGAGAAAGACTTGGGGGTGTTGGTTGACAAGAAGCTCAACACGAGCTGAGAATGTGTTTGCAGCCCAGAGAGGCAAAGGTGTCCTGGGCTGCAGCAAAGGCAGCAGTGAGGGAGGGGATTCTGCCCCTCTGAGACCCCCCCCCTGCAGTGCTGCCTCCAGCTCTGGAGCTCCCAAGGTAAGAACTATGTGGATCTGTTGGAGTGAGTCCAGATGAGGCCATGAAGATGCTCCAAAAGCTGGATGCTCCAAGTAGCTCTACTATGGAGCCAGGCTGGGAGAGCTGGGGGTGTTCAGCCTGGAGAAGAGAAGACTCTGGGGAGACCTTGGAGCCCCTTCCACTGCCTAAAGGAGCTCCAGGAGAGCTGGAGAGGGACTTTGGACAAGGGCCTGGAGGGACAGGATGAGAGGGAATGGCTTCACACTGACAGAGGGAAGGGTTAGATGGGATATTGGGAAGGAATTCTTCCCTGTGAGGGTGGTGAGGCCCTGGCACAGGTTGCCCAGAGAGGCTGTGACTGCCCCATCCTTAGAAGTGTCCAAGGCCAGCTTGGATGGGGTTTGGAGCAACTTGGGCTAGTGGAAAGTGTCCCTGTCCATGGCAGGGGGTGGAACTGGGTGATCTTTAAGGGACAGAACCCTTAACACTCTGTGATTCCATGACCCTTCAGAGGTGTTACAGGTCACTGAACCAGCTCTTGGCTGATCTGCTGTTAAAGAACTCTTTCACCTGGGAAGCTGAGAAATTCCACATCTGTACTAAATCTTGCTTTCTGAAGAAGGGGCTGCACCAGGAACAAGCACTTCTGCACAGCTACATGAGAGAAGCAACTAAGCAACAGCAAAAGTTTGGAGTGATCAACCACCAGCCAAGATTCCTGCTGGGCAAGGAATCATGTAAATGCCAAAGCAAAAGGAGAGCTCGAAGGACTGACGTGCTAGAGAATTTTTCACCAACGCATTGTTGTCAGTGCAACAGAAGTTACTACAAACTTAGACTTTAAAAAACTGTCTATTATGGTGCTTCACCCATCACTTAATACTGAGCACTTTAGAAACAACATGATCATTGATAAAAAGCAAACACAATTCTGGTATCCATTAACCTGTTTTGCAAACAGACACTCCAGCATTTGACTGAAAACAATATACCACGATCCCTCCTACCCAGCCATAGGTCCCACTCAGCATACACACCTTTGACATCAGGCTTGAACACACCAGGAGCAGCTACACCCACAGGCCTCTGATGCTGGATGTGATCTAACTCACAACAGGTTACAGCACAATTAAATCCACACGAGGCAGCAGGTTGATGTGACCATAAAACCGAGGGATCCCACTTTAAACACTCCAGTTTTTCCGCAGATGAAGGACTGCACAGAGTTATACTGGAAACAGAGGCGTATGTCAATAAGCAAATTGACCTTTGAAATTTTTAAATAGAATCAGAACATCTTTTAATTTTGTTGACTTATTCCCTTTATAAACACATAATGCATTTTTATGGCTTGTTCTGACGCCTATCTTGCACACTGCATGTTCAAGTCCTGATTCACTTCCTTGGGTTACAGTACAACCAGAAGCAGAATTTCTAAAGTATTTTGGCAAAGCTTTGTTTTTGTAGTATTTTTGATATAACCAAAACCAGCAAGTTCTAGAAATGCTTTAGAAAAGTATATTCACATTGCTTGATTGTAGCATTTTTGGTTAAAATGTCAGAACTGCCAGACCACACCTAGAATAAAAAGCAATGGGCTAAACTAAAGAGAAGGAAGTTTTAGGGGGAGGTGTTAAGGAGTCTTCCTAACAGTAAATTAGGCTCTTGTGTACCTAATGTAGGATTACCACAGATGGTTAAAAAACAGGCTGGACGAATACATCACAGATAGATAGAAATATATGAGAAGCAGGAGGTTTGTCTGGGGATGACAGAGGCCCCTCCACCCCATCCCTAGTTTCTGCAAATACAGTAGCATGACAACCAACAATATTTCCAGACAATTAGTTCTAAACAGCAGTTTCATCAGTATTGCTCATCCCAACAATCCTACTACTGCTTTTCAAAAATCATTCTCTCAAAAAAACACAGATTGAGATATTAGGGCTTAAGTGGACCCAGGTACTAATTCAAGAGTTTATACAGCAACTTACCACATCCTAAGAAAAACAGTTCCTTTCCTATCCCATAAATGTCCACTCTAAATATTTAGTAGGGAAACACTGAATTGAATACTAGCATTTGTAAATAAGTGACTGCAAAATATATGAACTTTTACTGGAAAAACAATAATAAAAATAATGCCCCTTTTCACCATGTGCTAATGCAATGTGCCATGCTTTGCTTTTCAGGAATATTTTTGTATCTGTGGAGTATAAGCTAAAATATCAATTTATAGTGAAAATCTCATTATCTTAATTGCAATAAGGCCAATGATACACTTAATAGGGTGTGCATGCTCTTTCCAAGCAGGTTAATGTACAGTCATATCAGTTCAGAAAGCAATATGCCATCTGCAGATATTTATATATGAAATCCAACATAGGGAAAACATTTGTACTACAGAACAGATTAAATAATTGAGAATGAAATTGCAAGATAAGGTGTTTGACAAGGTGGAGGGAAACTGCACAGTGGAGGAAAATCCATCCCCATGACTACTGGTCCTTCCTCCTCCCTGCTCACTGCTGTTCGCCTCTTCTTGGATTCCAGAGCTTGTTTTATTCCTCAGCAGCCCTCCTGCAGCCTGGTGGATTCAGCACACTTGGAAATTGTGGATCTGTGGTTTGTTTCAGGAAGAGAAGAAGGGAGAGTTTAAGTATTGCTTTAGCAGCAGATGGCTTTGCTCCGGATTCTGTTGTACACAAAGAAGATGTTTTTGCTGGCTCTGTAAGCACAAAAAGGGAAGAGGAAAATTGTTAAAGGCAGTGTGGATATGACTTGAATTTTTCAGCAGGTAAGAAGTCAGAAAATCTGTAAAACTCTGGCAAAAGTTACTGAAATATATCTTTTAAAGCATTATTTTCTTTTGTACCTCCTATATTTAAAATTTAATGGGAAATTTCCTCCACATGTTGTCTGTGCAATTCTTTGGAACTTAATTAACAGTGTTTGTAATTGAAACATTTACTGGTCACCTTGAAGGGATGGGACTATTCATCTTTATCACAGGTAAGCAAATACTTAGGAAAGAAAGCCTTTTTAAAACTCATTTTATTTTAAACCTTTCTTTTGCTTAGGAACATTTCAGTGATGTTTCTGCAGGCAGAGGAATGAAACAACTAGGCTGAGGGGTCTCTAACAGCTTATAGTGTTAAACTCTCACTATAGTAGAGAATCTTTTCAAAAATGTATGAATTAGAGGTTGAAGTAATTAGTTCTTTCTATTAAACACTTCAATTCTGATATCAGCTGTAGCTGTGGTTCAAGGACACTGATTCCACATTCTCTAACATTTTTTAGCTTTAAAAATGCCAGTATTTATTACAATATAGTTCAACATTCAATAAGTATTAGAGTAACTTATTTTTTTTAATTCTATGAATATTCCAGTTGTTTAACAAGACAGGTGTAATGGTTTTATTGCCAAGGAAATGTTTAAATTGCCTTGCAGAATGGCAGGTACTGCACTTTTTAACTCCCAGCACAAACCAAACAGTGCAAAGTAATTACACTTTTTCCTGAGAAAAGGACAGTGCAGATGGAGAGTGTGCCTAAAACTGATGTAGTGAGTGAACTGATTAGGTCAGTACAGAGACTTTTCCCAAATGCCAAGGAAGCCCTACCAGCCACCCTGAATCCTTGGGAGAGGACATTCAGCACTTGCTATCAAACTGTGTGGTGCAACCATGGATAAATAAGCAAGCTTAGCAAATAGTGCATAAAATATTACAAACTTGGCTCAGCCTCATGGCCTTTGAGCCCCCACAGCTTCTCCTGCTCACATAAAAAGCAGGGAAGAGCAGAGGTTGTCTCTGAAGGGATCTGCTCCCAGGACAGCTCCCGTGCTGACACCTGACCTCTTCTCAAGGGCCAGGGCTCAGATCTGTGCCAGGTGACCACCACAGGCAGTGCAAAGAGAAGGACCACCCTGGGGGCAAAGCAGCCAGACTTTGGACCCTCACGCTTCTCCAGTGGCAGCAAAGCTCATCGGGGCAACAGCTGCCACTGGTGGTGGTAAATGTACCATTTACTGCCTCTTGCTCTCCCAGCACATTCAGCCCTCAGTGGGACAAATCCAGCCAGGCAATTAGTGCTGCTCCAGGGAAAAGTGGTTTGCAGTGCAATCCAGGAAAGAGGGGGCTGTTGCCCAGCCACTGGGTGTGACTGTGCTCGATCCACAACCCCTGTCCCTGCTCCTGGACTCATTAAGAGAACAGTTTTTGGAGGCTGCAGCACACACAGTCGGGTACTCAGCTGTTGTTCTTGCCCTGCTGGAGCAGGGACACCTGCAAGGGACTACAAAATCTATCTGAGCCACCAGACTTGAATGGCTTTTGCAGAATGATTGTGCATGTTTCCATGCCATTCCCTCAATATAGCTGTAACCAAGCCAGGTGCATTATTTAGGGAGACTACAGGGCTTAATGCCAGCCCTGACCACAAATTAAGTCATATTTGGAACATCAGGGCCACGTAGAGTCACATAAATCTACAGCCACTTGCTGGTTGAAAGGGATATTTTAATCAGGATGAGAGTGGTAATAGATGCTCCAAAGGTGGTTGTGTTGTCTTTTGTTTGGGTTTGGGTTTTTTTTTTTAGAATCTTAATTTGAAGCATCCAAACTTACATCAAGCAGAAGTATCAGGATAAAGCAGTTCAGGATATAACTCTGGCTGGAATATTCTTTGAGTGTCTGGGGGCAAGCAGCTACAGAATCATTCCCATTTTAACCCTGGATTTGGTGTTTAATCTTGTGCACACAAGCAAAACTTTTTTTTTATTCCTTAATGATTAGATAATGGCAATCATTTCTATGACAAGGTTGACAAATCTTCTACACATAAGCAAATTATTTCTAGTAACAATAAAACATCCACCTGACCCTTCTTCTTTTTGTGCATCCTCTTTAACTTTCCACTGCTTCTTCACTCTCCTTTCTCCACAGGCTCTCAACACTATTACTAGGGGTGAAGAATTATCTCCTTCCAGCTAGTTTTCCAATAACTTCAAAAAGGAATTAAGGTGAGTTAAAGTTGAGTTTTGAAAGGTATATGTGTAGGACATATACCTATTTTAAAAGTAACTGTTTTCATCCTTCTTTTTTTCCTTTCCCAGGTTGAAATAACCTCTTTCTGGCCAGAAAGCTGGTGAGCCTTTAATTTAAGATTAACTTTTTCACTTGGTGATAAATTCAAGATATTCTGCTGAACCTAATTCTTCTCAATAATATTAATTTTATAACAAAAGAACTGTGCTAATATCAGATTTTTTGCTTGACACCTGTTTAAGTTGGAGCTGAAAGAAGAATCAACTCTGTGTCTCTTGAGTACATGTTGCATTTAACCACAAAAAAATGTAAGGGCATCATTTGTCAAACTTGTACAACAGTGAACAGTGCATAGGGAAATGAAACAACCCTTGGTAACTCCTGACAGAGAAAGAATTGTGTGTACAACTACAATTTGATCTGTGTTTGGTTTACATTTTTCTCAAGTTAAGTTGAGGAAAAAGGCCATGCTACCTTCAGTGCATCAGCAGAACAGGAAACTGCCTTAAAAATATCATTCACAGAGGTGTTGAATACCACTTGAGCTCAAGCACACATAATTTTGATCAATTCAGGAGGATTTGGTGTATTAGCTTACATTGCTTTGTAGTTCTAAAGAAAATATAAGTGTGATGTCTAAGCTAGCAATGTGATGGCAGGACCCAGTTCTTCTTTTCTGATAATACCAAAGCAACTAATTATCCTCCTTGGAATTCATTAACCTTGCTAAATCTTCAGCAGAGACAGATCTTAAAATATTTCATTCTGAAAATCAAACTTTATCCACAGTTGGTAGAAGAGGATTTGTATGAAAATGCCCATACAAGTTTAACCAGAGCTGCTATCACTTCTGTTTCTTGTATACCACAGTCCCAGCTCAGTGTCAGAGCAGAACCTCAGAAAGGTGACATCCACCTCCATCCATAGATATACACAACCCCACTAATAACCACTCACTTTGCCAGTACTGTAATTAATCAGATTTGCTCAAAACCTTAAGGACACCAACTGCAATGACAGACCCACAGTACTCACTAATTTGAAAAGCTCCATACCAAGTATATTCTAAATAACACAAGGTTTTGTCCATAGGTTGGGAGATGCCTCACGATGGATAAAGCCATTCAGCACCCCAGTGAGATCCTGTCCAATCAAACTGTCTCTAACTTTAGCTTTTCTCAGTTTTTGAACTTTGACACATGCCAGCTTTCCTTCCTTGCAGAGTTCTTGCTTATCACAGCTTACACCTTAGTTTTACTGGTGGGGCTTTTTGGAAATCTTTGCTTGATTATTATAATAAAGAGACGGAAAGAAGCTCAAAATGTTACCAACATTTTGATTGCCAACCTCTCTATATCAGATGTCTTGATCTGTATCATGTGTATTCCTGTCACAGTTGCATACACCTTAATGGACCACTGGATATTTGGGGAAGCAATGTGTAAAATGGGTTCTTTCGTACAAAGTTTATCTGTCTCAGTCTCCATTTTCTCACTTGTACTCATTGCTGTTGAGAGGTACCAGTTAATTGTGAACCCACGTGGCTGGAAGCCTAATATTTCACATGCTTACTGGGGGATTCTTCTCATCTGGGCGCTTTCCCTCGTGATATCCCTTCCTTTTTTAATATTTCACCAGTTAACAGATGAGCCCTTCAAACACCTGTCTTTCCACAGTGATTTCTACAAGAACAAGGTTGCTTGCATCGAAGCATGGCCATCTCTTACAGAGAGACTGATTTTCACCACCAGCCTGCTGGTTTTCCAGTACTGCTTCCCACTGGGGTTTATTTTTATCTGCTACCTCAGGATATTTGTATGTCTTCGAAGGAGACGCTTTAAAATAGACAGGGTGAGAGAGAACGAGAGCAGGCTGAGTGAAAGCAAAAGGATTAATGTGATGCTGGTATCAATTGTTGTGACTTTTGCAGCTTGCTGGCTGCCTCTCAATATATTCAATGTGGTTTTTGACTGGAACTACGAGGCACTAATGAGCTGCAATCACAACCTGGCATTTACCATCTGCCACCTCGTGGCCATGATCTCAACGTGTATCAACCCCATCTTCTATGGATTTCTGAACAGGAACTTTCAGAAGGATTTGATAGTATTAGCTCACCACTGCAGATGCTCAGCATCACAGGAGGAATATGAAAATATTGCCCTTTCAAATCTGCAAACTGATGCATCTAAAGGGTCTCTGAAATTAAATAATCCCCATGTGGATATATAAAATAATCCAACAGCAGTTTCCAAAATTTTGTGTTTTGTTGCAGATGGCCTCTTTCTGTAGGTCTTGGTCATGTTACCATCAAGTTTAGAGGAAGTTTTTACATTTAATTCAGCAAAATCAGGATTATGCTTCCATAGGCATACTCTTAACAGGTACTTAATGATAGTGTTAATGCTAATAAACCACATCCAAGAGTCATAAAGATCAATAATAAGGAATTATAAACAGTATTAACATCTTACTTTTTTAATCCACAGTTTCACTAGCATCCAACCTTGGCTCCAAAAAATCATTTCCATTTCAGCCTCTCATGGAATGTCCTCCCTAAACACCAGCTTCCCCCCAGTAAACCCTGAACGCTGTGGTGTTTTTAACTTCAGCAGCCTTTCTCACAGTTTTCTGGCCTTTTGATTTTCCTGCCCTACACTGATCCCAGCCCTGGTTAACCTGCAGGTTGCAGGCAGTTCACACTGTAAGGAAGGCCCCTGAATTTATCCGAAGCCTCCATCACCTTCCTTTCAGCCCCAGCATGCAGTTTGTTTTGGTTTAGTACCAGCCCAGCCCAGAAATCGTATTTTAACAAGGGAAAAGGCTAGAGCTGGAATTCTATTTTTTTTTTTATGAGCACTAAAGCAGTTGAAAACTTGATTTGCTGCAAAGATGTCTTCACTGAGATTGTTCTTGCTGTTCAAGATGAAATACATATTTAGCATTTCTCCTAAAAGCATTGCATTCTCCAAACCATCAGCACAGATCATTGCTTTTGCTCTTACCATCACCACTGGTCCCTACAATAGACCTTTTAGAATCTCCATTATCAGACAAACACACTATGAATTTAGAGTAAATTTTGTTTTAGCTACTTACCCAGATTTCTCTTTGAGTAGAAAATTAGGTCTGCATCTTCATTGCAGCAATATCTTTCTCCACATTTCTGCACTAGCACGAGGCCACACTTGAGCAGATGTGGTCATTTCTGTCCAGCCGTGTTTGCAAATAGTTTCTTTTGTAGCACAGAGCATAGAAGCCTAAAGGTGTAATATTGAACACAACTCTTCTCAGACTAAAACATTTTAAAAATCGCTTTCCAGTGTGGCCATAAAAAAATAACCAGACTTATTTGTCATCCATGCTACAGTGATAGCATAAGTAATCAGTTTATATTGGGCTATTTAAATACAATACTTAGAACAATTTAGTCCAACAACTCACCTTGCTTCCTCTTGTTCAAGTGAAATATAATTAATTACTTCTATTGCTAAAGTCCTTTCTTCTTCTGAGTTTTTTAAAACCCTTGTTTTAACACTTGCACATAAAATTCCTTGCAATGTATTCCCTAACTTTAGCAATTTACCAGTGCCCCATTTAAAAGAATTAACATTTATATTACAATGAGCTCCTTGCTGATTCAGCTGTGATGAAACTTACCTTAAGGCCACAAAATTCTCTTGGAGAGGGACCATCATTTTCCATAGTCAAGCAGTTCTTAAAGGATTCCTTCAGGCCACAGTTCTCTCGCTGCAGCATCGGTTTGGACTGGCTGCATCACTCTGCTCATCAGAGCAGCTCTGTGAGAGGAGCCTCACCAGCTCTTGCACATACTCTGGATTATTAAGTGCCCCCTGATTCACCCTGAGTAAAAAGACCTCGTTGAAATCCATCAGTGTCTGAGCCCACAGAAGTCCTAAGGTCAGCCCTACTCACTGGAGCAAGAAAGGCAGAATTAGCAACACAGTAATCAGGTATCTGAGTGACAGCTATGGATTAGTTTTGGCATCATTTGGTATTTTTTTCTAATTAGATCCAATATCACACATGTGCACTGAAGTGTATAAACCATAACTTAAATATCTGCCTTGAAAAGAAACCAGCATACAGATAAATACCTAATAAAGGCCAATGATCAGACTGATAAGAGGATCTTAGTGTTAATTAGTTCCATTAACGCCACCCCTCGGTCACTGGGCTCCCTCTGTTGCTGGTTTCCACCATCTGCTTGTTCAGCAAATGGGTTTTTAACCAAGGTAAAAGCAGCAACTTGCATTCGATGACAGTGTGACCACACCACACACTCCCGAGGGGCTGGTGTGTGCTTTGGTGAGGGGGAGCTGATGGAGCTCGTTCTCTCATCAGTGAGACTCCAGGGTAATAATGGGGGTCACTGTCTTCGTTGCACTTGCTTAAATGAGAGCAAACCTGATCCAGGAACTTCACTTTTCTTGGAGATTCCAGTGCCTGTACAGAAAGTCACCTAATACTGCCAGAAGACCATTCACTGAACAGATCATTTTAACAAATCCTGGTGGCATTCCTGCAAAAGGCTGGGCTATCAGCTGGATTTCCCTGAGTTTGGAACACAGATCTCTCTGTCTTCCTCATATTTAAGCACAGTTTACAGCTTCAGGGCCCATGCTGAAAGCAATCTGCAAGCACAGGACATTCACAGTTTAATTTATTAATACTGGCACAACAGTTCAGATTACTCTCAGTTCTCACAGAAGTGTCTCAGACAGTATTTGGAGTTTGACTCAGGCTCAGCTGAGATTCCCACGTATGAACTTGGCTTAAGTGGCTCCCATACCAGCATTCCCATCCCTTAGGCACACCCAAGTGTGCTTAGTTTTATAGCAGAGGTGGTTTTAGTATCACATCCCAAGTGCTTTAAACACAGCCACAAAATTAACACTGGTTTAAATTAAGTGATGCTGATGGACAGTCTCCCTTTACTGTCTCTCCCTAGAAGTGCTTGGGCAGTGCATCAGACAGGCACAAAAAAGATTGCCACTGCTTTTTGTAACACCAGTGGTCTGCTCACAACATCCTGATCAAACTTAAGCAATCAATTTTTCCTTCCAGTCTGAATCTTGGCATAAGAAGGTTCTTCATTAGCAAGTGGCAGCATTCCCAGCAGTGACTTCCTCAGAATCAAATGTGAACAATCATACTTGTGCCTTGATTTCTTCTTCTCATTTCTTCCTCTCACTTTCATTTGACTCAAGTGCTGATGCTCCATTTCTGTCCTGAGCAGTTATCAAGTATCTCTTCTTGATGCTGCATTTATAAAAATCATTGTTAACTGAACAGAGGATTATCACAGTCCTGAAGACTCTCAGTACGTCCAGTGGCTTCGTGTGCATCCTGATACTGAATTTCCAGGCAAGTCAGTAAGAGTGAGATGACTTTGATAGGAATAGGAACAAAGAAGAGTTGCTTCTTTTTAAAGCATAAGTATTATGGACTCCAGCATGGTGTGTGACACTGATATATGTAACTGCAATATGCAATGCCTAAAGATGGCTCAAGTTAAACTGGCAAATGTTGCCCTGTGTTGGGTAATGTTGATAACTTTATTTCCTCTCTTTGTATTGATATAGCAAGTAGACAAAATTCTAACAGCCTTTCTCACCAGAGAGTTGTTCCTTGATCACAGAATCATGGAATATTCTGAGTTGGAAGGGACCCACAAGGATCATCAAGTCCCAGCTGGAGGACTGTGAGTTTCCTCAGAGGAGCAGCAACATGGATTTAATTATTGAAAACTAGAGGGGGAACCTGAACTCCCAAATGCTATCCCAATGTACAAACAAATTCTTGGGTTGTCTTTTTTTTTTTAAAGTGCATCAGAGCTTTGTTCAAGTGGTTCAAGTTGTGTAGACCAGACTAATATATTTATAAACATCCTTGTAAATGAACATACCCTTACCTGTCTGTGTATTTTATGGTTGATTGGTTTAACTGTAAGCACATATAACTAGGGTTAGATACTTGGGAACTGGCATTCATTGTGGAAATGATTCTGCTGAGCAGAGAGATCAATTGATTACTGACTGTAATTCTGTCTGTGACAAAGGCAGTGCCAGTGCTGTGTGTGATTTAAAGACTTTGATTGCTCCCATCGGCTGACAAATAAATATTACCCTGTGTAAAACTGCCTGGTGAATTGTACTGTCTGTGACGGGGGTAGGACAGTTCTCATGTGCCCAAAGGCCAAGAATCACCAGGAGGTCAAAGAAAAATAGAAAGCCTGCTGCAGATGGAAAGAGTGGCCACAGAGCAGATAAAACACAGCTCAAGGGCACAAAGGCACTCGGGAGGGGACTTGACCAGAGCACAGATGTCAGGAGGGAGCTGCTGACACACTGGAGGCAAAGGAGATGGAGGAGAGGACACAAAGACTGCTCTGAGGAAGAGGGATGACCTGCAGAGATGCCCTGGCAAACTCAGAGGGCTACAAATTACACTCCAGAGACACCACTGTGCCAAGGGGACCCTCTAAAGCGTTGGGATGAACCAAGAGGAGAGACATAAAAAATAAAAGACACGACTAAAAATTAAAAAGCAACAGGGTATGTGACAAACAAGAAAAAAAAATTAAAATGGCCAGCTTGATGAAAGGAGAGACAAAATTTAAAAGCTGAGGGGTACAAGGCAGGGGAGAAAAAAAATTAAAATAGGGAGAGAAAAATAGATAAAAGTAGATACAGAAAAACAATTCAAAATGAGAGGAGAGCAAATCTATAGCAAAGCTTTGAGAAACCTCACAATGAAAGGTCAGATGGACAGCAGATGTACTTAGTGGAACCCGATAGACTCCATAAATACAAAACTGTCCTTTCAATTCTATGCTAATAAGACACTTAGAAATATTCCACAATGGCAACCTTAGAATTATCTTGTCTGGTATCACTCATTTTTAAACAAGGTTCCTTTGGTTTCCATGCAAATGCACTGACTGATGCCTTTTATTTTATTTCATTTCATTTCATAGGCTTCTCCATTAGTCACAGGCTATTTACATAATGTGATGGAATTGGCACCTGTGTGGAGCTGTTCTCTGAGCAAAATTCGCTTCAACCTCAGGCCTAGTGAGGAAAACTTGTTAATTTGTGTAGATGTCAGGGCTGTAACAGCTCCATGAATTAGTTCTTCCAGCCAGGAATGGCTACGAGAGTCACAGGAAGCTCTCAAAGTTTGGATTCCCTCTAAAGAGAATCTCTCAAACCCCCTTGTCAGCTCCTTTGTTAGGCTGGAGGCTTCTGCAGTGCTCAATTCCATGACTTCGGAGCCGCAGTTCCAGAGGAGGCTCCGGGAGGCCCAGATTTCCCAGGCACTCCTGCAGTGACTCTGCACAGCCTCCACCTCCACAGGCTCCCAGGGCACCCTTACATTTCCCAGCACATCCAAGTCTCTCCCATGCTCAGTACAGGCCAAGAGATTTTTCTGTTAACAAGCTACAAAAACACTACTTTGGGGACTAAAATCACTTGGATGGTATAGTTGTGTCAGATGATTCCATGCTTTAATTTCTACCTCAAAGCCATCTTAGGATTTGCCATCATTACAACCATTAAAAGCCATCCCATGACTGTAGTCTGACCATATTCCCATATTTCCTCAAGTAGTTGTCCAATGGGAGCTGCTTAATCCACCTCAGTGTGTTGGATTTGGGGGTGGGGGTGGTGTTTGGGTTTTGTTTGCTTTTCAAATAAGTGTAATGACTCTTCTTACACATGAGATGTCAATCTAGGCAAGAATAAAATTCAATAAGTTTTGTGTAGATCAAAACAAGAAAGGAGATCCCAGAACAGTCTCTCCAAGCCAACTGTCCCATTCTTCTGGAATTTCCTCAACAAAACTATTTAGCTCTCCTCCCCTTTTACATAACTGCAGGAACCTGACAGCAACTACAGCCTTGCAGTCCTTACCCATTTCCATTGCCTCTTGGGCAGATCCCACTGCTGAAGGAGCTCTCTTTGGCTGCAGGATGAATGCCAAACAGTGTGGATTTTGGGGAAGAGGCTTGCCTCTGAAGGTGCAGGGAAGGAGCTGAACAGAACAGAGCCGACAAACGCCCAGTGGAGCTCAGACCCTGGAAGATACTCAGGAAGACTCTGCAAGAAAATGGAGATACAGGTTACAAGCCTCAGAGTAGATTGTAACAGCATGTAAATATACACATATGTTTAACTCAACACACCAGCAGCTATCTGGGCTGTCAGAGAAAAAATTGTATTTGAGCATCGTGTCTTCACAGGACACTTTTACAGAGACAAAAAGGCACGGGGACCATTTCATATTTAACTTGCACAGGAGGGAAATCCACACACACACACTGCAAAGAGCAGGAGGAGTCTGGGACACTGGGCTGCTCCAGCTGTGCTGCAGGATGGGCTCTGCACAGCCTCGCTGGGTGGCTCCAAGTTTATTCTCTTTTGAGGAGCTCCAAAGTAAAGGTCAGAGGGACCTCGCCACACCCACAGGGCGAGGCTAGTTATCCTCCTAAAGGATAATAGTCTCTTTTAAGATATCCAGGCCATTATTTCACTATTTGTAAAGAATATCTTTATCAGTCAACCCAGCAAGGCTGCCAGCATGGCATGATACCCTATCCAGCACACATTCACATCTGTGCATTTCAAGTGGCTTTAAGTCCCTTATTGCTTCCAGCTCTTTATTCCCAGACCTTTCTGACTGTGTGAGCAGGTTCTCACTTACACCAAATGCAGTGTGCACTCCTGCCCTGGACAGAAATCAGACGTAGAGATCTCCTCCTTGGGACTGGTGTCTTTTGTCCTTCATAGCAACCAACACCAGACATGTCTCTCAGGCAGCCTGAGCTTTCTCCTCAAACTGGCTCTCAAGGTCTGTTGCCACAGGCACCGTCTGTCTCCAGCCTTTGTCTCGGCTGAGAGCACGGAAACACTCTCACACTCCACACTCCAGTGGCTTTGAGGCCACCATCCATGTTAGTGACCATAAACATGATCCAGGAGAGCCAATTCTCCATCATCCACAACCTCTGAGTGCTGCAGAACCTGCCAACGAGGGTCAGATGCCCCACATGTTTCAGGCAGAACCCCCGAAACCTAAGGCATACGAGGGCATAACCATCTTTTGAAGTGCTCTTTATTAACTAAAACCAGCTCAAATTTTGCCTGTGTTTAGGCTTGCAAACAAAACCATCGTCACACTGCACTGAATCACCAGCTGAAGTGAGAGAAGTCCCGTGACTGACCAGGAGCAAGATTGCTGGTTTCTAATTAAAGATGAACTTGTGAGACTCCTTTAAAAACTGGCCACAGAGTTAGTATTGAATGCAAAAGCAAAATCTGAGTTGACTGAAAGGTCAGCAAACCCAGGGAGATAATTACTGCTTGATGTTCCAGGAAACCCAAGCTCTGACACTAAGTTTAAAAAAAGAAAAAAATGCCTTTGATGAACGATAACAAAAACTTTCTTTCTTCCTGTCACCATCATGCAAACAGATCAGGCATGGAGATACTGAGGGCATTAAGCAAGAAAATTGTGAGCAAGTATCCTGTTAAACCTCACATCTCTATTCACTGAAATACACAAAAAATCAAATATTTCAAGGGAAAAGTGATTTTTTGTGTTAGTATGATTTGATTTGCTGACTAATCAATTTTCAGAGCTGATGAGCCTTTGCTTTGAGCCCTTGCCTCTTTCTAAAGGAAAATATACAGTGTACTAAGATTTTAGGAGTCCTCAAGTCATGTTGAAAGGCTGAGGTGAGGGTTAAAATACTTTCAGTGTGTTTTTGCAGGGAGGAGACCTGCAGCAGCTTTACAAAAAGCATCTGAGAATAGCAACAGCAAGTTACGAGCAGAAACAAATTACGAACAAAGAAAAATTATGAACAAATTAATATAATCAAGGGTTACCGTACATCTGCTGCTAAGAAATAATAGCTGCTTTTTGTTTTCTCGAAAAAGCTAAAATAACTCAGCTGCTAGCTTAATAATTAAGTAGAATTTAAAACTGTACAGAATGACTGAACCGTTGAGGACAGGAAGGGGCCTCTTGAGATCATAGAGTCTCCCCCCCCCTTGCTCCATAAGATAAAATGCTTTTTCTGAAGCATAATCATAAATTTACCTAATTAAAACTTCACCAGAAGGTTGCTCCTGGGACAGCTGGCCATGGAGGGGCCATGTGGGTGTCACACCAGCAGCGCTGGCACGTCACTGAACCAGTGCTGGCCCTGCTGGGAAGCTGGTGCTGCTCCAGTTCAGGATCTCCCCAATCCGGGGGAGTTTTTCTTTTTCTCTTTTTTTTTTGTTCACGTTGCTGACAAATTGGGAGCTGGAGTCTCTCAGAAAAACCAAAATCCCCCAGTGGGGGCCACTTCAGCTGCCAGCAGGAAGGCAGAGGTGAGTAGGCGTGCTGTGGAGCTGCTGATGAAGCAGGCAGGAGCCTGGTATGTCTGGGCAGGTGTGCAAGCAAAACGTAATTTATTTTTTTTTTTCCCAAATTTTTTTCACCCAGCAGACCCAACCAGGGCTGAAATCAATAGAAATTAAGTTTCCTGCCCATTTCATCTGTGGGGTCCTGATGGGTTGAGAAGCAAATATTTCAGTACGTGGTACAGATAGAGAAAAAGAGACCACCAGAATCCAGAGATCCTGCAAATTACTGCCATCTCCTTTTTATGTGAAATATACCTAGAGGATGCTTGTCAAATTTGATCTTCATGAATGTGTGTCAACCTTTTATACTGACTTCATTAGTTTTACCTAGGGAGCAATTGAGCTGGTCCCCGAGGCAGGTATTACTCACATGCCACCTTTACCAATCAGATTAGCACCGTGTTTACTCTGAAAGCTGAAGCCTTGGTGCTCAGCATTGAAATGAGATCTCCTGAGCAGAGCACACAGCCAGGCCCCCAGCTCCAGCCCTGTCTTGGAGAGGACCGTGCTCACCATATGGTGCTCCTGCTACTCCTGTGCTATTTCTGGCTTCCAACACTGGAACTGTGACGGAAAGATTTAAAAAGAAGGCTTTGATCCTGCCAAGACGTCTGCTCACCACACTACAAACCTTTTTTCTGGTAGTTGAACTGTGCTGTGCACCCTTCAGCTGATCCCTCCATATTATAGGTTCACATTCCTTAGACCTCCTTTTATGGTTTTT